CCACATGTTGTAGGATTCCATTCATATGAAATGTCCAACAGTGGCAAATCCACAGAGACAGAAAAGAGATTAGTGGTTGCCAGGGCCTGGGGGAGTGGGGACGGGGAGTGACTGCTTAATGGGTCCAAGGTTTGCTTTGGGTGAGATAGAAACGTTCTGGAAATCGACAGTGGTGATGGTTGCACAACATTGTGAATATGCTGAATGCCACTGAATTGCGCACCTAAAGTGGTTAAAATGGTAAGTTTCATGAGTGTTTTGCCACAATAATAATAATTTTAAAAAAACAACTTAAAATTCTCATAAAAAATGTTTTGCATTTCCCCACTCTTCCTGGCAGAATTTTCAGGAACCAACTGAATTCATGAAGGGAAAAATGGGTGAATTGTTAAAGAAAAAAATATTCTAACTGTCAAAAACTAGTACAATGACACTTGCTAATGTGTGGTAAGGGGAGGGGGCCATGCGTAAGAGAGGATTCTGGGTAAACCGGCCTAGCAGGCCAGAGTGATCAGACTTTACCCCGGGGATGGTGGAAGATGAGTGCTGGAGGCTAAGACCAACAAGTAGTTAGCATAATTATGCGAGAAGTCCGCTGGAAGGCTAATGGACTTTGATATTCAGCAAGGCCTGAAAATCAGCATAATATAGCCCTGCTTTTGGCTGAATGGCTGAAGGCAATCCCCTAACCTGATAATCCTTTATTGTTTACCAAACTTTACCATTGATATGCCTGTTTGCTTTGCTAAAAGGCAAATGTGTATTCTAGTATAAAAGCTAATGGGTCTGGGCATTCAGAGAGCCTCTCCAATAGAGAGTAAGGTCTCCGCCTGGCTCCCCGTGCCTTCTAAATTTATATTTCTTGTCTAGTGTATCCGTGTGTGCGGAGCCCCTTCTCCAGACCTTGAACCCTAGCCCCAAATGGATGCGGTGTTCACAGATGAGGTACCTGATCAGATGTCAAGTGTGGGAAGTTCTCATTAACCTATCTTAGGAGGATTCTTGCTGAAATTTGGACAATGCAGAGATGAACACAGAAGTCCAAAAGTCAGAACCTAGTTAGAAAAAAGTTCAGGGGATCCTGAGTTGAGTTCATCCAATGAGAGAATCCTTGTCGGTATATAAAAATACTAGAGGCCCGGTGCACGAAAATTTGTGCACTTGGGGTGGAGGGGGTCCCCTCAGCCCAACCTGCACCCTCCCACAGTCCGGGAGCCCATGTGGGAGCGCACTGACCACCAGGGGGCAGCTCCGACTCCACCCCCACATCGCCCCTCCACCACTGCTGCTGATAGCCATCCCCTCCCTCTACCTGCTGGCACCCGCCTTGGCTGGCCTGGCACCGCATGCTGGCCTGCCTGTCTCCCCTCCCCCCCCACGCCCCCAACCAGTCATTCCACCATTCAGCCGATTTGCATATTAGACTTTTATTATATAGGATAATGATCAGGATGCTTCGAGCACCAATAACAGAAAGCACACACCACCACCCCCCAGCCAGCCTGGCTGGGATTAAAAACAGGACACTGGGTTGCCTGGTTTTCTTCCAGACGCCATGTGTGGAATTCAGCTCTGCTCCTCTGCTGTGTGTTGTTTTCGTCCACATATTGGCATCATCCTCAGGCTGGTGCCAAGAGAGCTCTGCATTCCAGGCATCGCAGCCAGATCTGGACCTGGAGAAGCAGCCCACCCCACCCTGAGGGAGCTGCCCCAGCAGCCTCCCCTCAGGTCTCATTGGCCAGTGCGCCCGCTGTTCAACCAATCCCTGGTCAGAAGCAGGGGACCGCCTGAGAGGCTTGGACCAATCAGGAGGTGGGGAGAGAAGGGGATGAAGGCTGCAGGACAGGAGACGGAAGCCCTGAATATTAGCAGTGACTTTCTCTCTGGTTAATTGGAAGATGGATGAATTTTACTCTTCTTTTTGAGTCTAAGTTTCTATAATAAATCTATTCTTTTTTAAAAAATTGGAAATGGAACCAAAGCCATTCTTGGGACAGAGAGAGAAGATTCGGCAACTGAAAGTCCAAAAAAAAAATGGCTTTATGCACAGCCGGGCACTGCTTACAATGGCAATAGGGCCGCATTGGGGTCTGTGTTAGTTCAGACACCTGGACACCCGGGACCACACCGCCCCTCCAGGTGGTTCAAAGTCGAGATTTCTCTCTCACTCCAACCTGGGGATTAGGGAAGGCGCTACGACCTCCTACTATCTGATGTGTGTCAAGGACACACACACACAAACCCCAATTTGGTGTTCCCTCTTCCTGCAGCACAGAAATCTCACCTGGCACTGCCCTCCCCTCCCCATCCCCTTTCCTCCCCTTAATCCTAGACCAGTGGTTCTCAACCTTCTGGCCCTTTAAATACAGTTCCTCATGTTGTGACCCAACCATAAAATTATTTTCGTTGCTACTTCATCACTGTCATGTTGCTACTGTGATGAATCGTCATGAAAATATCTGATCTGCAGGATGGTCTTAGGTGACCCCTGTGAAAGGGTCGTTGGACCGCCAAAGGGGTCGCGACCCACAGGTTGAGAACCGCTGTCCTAGACAAACGCTGTTTGGTAGAACTTCTACGGCAATGGTGGAAATGTTTTATATCTTCTCTGTATGTCACAGCCTCGAGTCATGTGGGGCTATTGAGCACCTGAAAGTGGCTGGTTTGGGGGAACCAAGTTCTATAAGGCATCGAATTTTAATAAATAAACATATATATGTAGTTTTGTTGTTGTTAATTCTCACCTAAGGATATTCTTCCCATTGATTTTTAGAGAGAGTGGAAGGAAGGGAGGGAGGGAGGGGGAGAGAAAGAGAGAAACATCAATGTGAAAGAGACACATCGATTGCTTGCCTCCCACACAAACCCCAACCAGGGCCAGGATCAAATCTGCCACACAGGTATGAGCCCTTGACAGGGAATAGAACCGGAACCCTTTGGTGGATGAGCCAATTCCCTAACCACCGAGCCACACCTTCCAGGGCTAAATTTATATTATAATAGCCACATGGTATTAGCACAACCCTGGACTCTCTGTCCCAACAGAGCTCAAAACTATAATTGACCCCTCCCACTTCTCCAGCCACACGCCCCCGCCCACAGGCTGCCCTCTCCCACCGGGCCCCCAGCTTGTCCAGGACTCAGCAGCTTCCTCAAAGCACCTCGAGGGCATGCAGCCTCCGAGCCTTTGCTCGCTTGTGCTGTTTACACTCACCTCACCGCCCCCCCACCGGACCCACCCCAATCTGCCTCATCCCTTCTCCTGCTCCAGATCTCAGCTGTCCCCTCCTCCAGGAAGCCCTCCCTGCCCCTCAAGCTGAGTCAAGCATCCCCTTGGGTTCTCCCAGCCCCCGAGCTCCTCCATCCCAGTGCTGATCACTCTGCATCATCCTTACCTGGTGTGTCTGTCCCCCCCACACACAGACATGTGAGCCCCACCGTGGACTGAGAGCAGGGCAGGAGTTGTCTAATCATCACTGTCCCCAGCACCATCCAGCGTGGAGTTGGCATAGGGAGTGTGTGTTGGGATGAATGAATGAATGAATGAATGAATGCTTTTGAAAAACCATGCTAAGAGCTTTTAGAATGAGCCAGCCCCACGTCAAATCCCACCTCCCCCTTCCGCTAGACCTGCCACCCTCCTTAGCCTCAGTTTCCTCATCTCTAAAATGGGAAAAGTGACTCATGGCCGATGCTGGATGAGGCAGTAGTGTGTGTCGGGCCTGGCGACAGGGGGCATTGCTCAACCAGAGGCCACTGTAACTGTCGTTATAATTACTGCTGCTGCTCCTGACAGTCAGGTTGAGTGGGAAAGAGAGGGAAGAGGTCAAGGGAGGAGTGCTGGGAAGCCCCAGCAAATTCCCCAGTCGCTGGAAAACAGGTCCAACCAGTGTCTGCACATTCATCCCAGGGAGCACAGGTGAAGCTCCGAGGCTTGAGGACAGGGTGCCGGCCGGCTCGGTGGCCGTGGCTGTGTCTCAGGGGCTCCCCCGGGGTCCTCCCCGAGCTGGCCCCCTGCGGACCGCCCGGGCCCGCCCTCCGGCCCCCTCGGTGCCCAGCAGGTGGCATCTCCACAGGACGCCGAGATGGAGATTCCCACGGGGACCCAGGGCCACTTCTCACAGGGCCTCCTGCTCTCAGGTAAGGAGGAAATGCGCCCCCAACGCCCAGGCGAACAGGTGAGCCCCAGCCCCGGGGGTGGGGTTTCCCCTGGGAAGAAGGAAAGCTGTCAGGGAAGATGAAAGTATTAGAGAAGGAAGGAAAGGGGAGGAGCAGAGTCACACCCCCATCACCACTTTATCTATGGAATTTTCTAGAATATTAGGACCACGAGGGCAGGAATGTATCTGTGTATCCAGTTCCCTGCTGCATCCCCGGTGCCTAGATATCGAGGGAATTTTAGACATATCATGTATAATTGGCATTTTAGCATAAATAATATATGTGCTTATAAGTATTGGTTAGAGTCCAGTGATGGCAAACCTTTTGAGCTCGGCGTGTCAGCATTTTGAAAAACCCTAACTTAACTCTGGTGCCGTGTCACATATAGAAATTTTTTGATATTTGCAACCATAGTAAAACAAAGATTTATATTTTTGATATTTATTTTATATATTTAAATGCCATTTAACAAAGAAAAATCAACCAAAAAAATGAGTTCGCGTGTCACCTCTGACACGCGTGTCATAGGTTCGCCATCACTGGGTTAGACCAAGTATGTCAAACTCAAAGGCTAACACGGGCCAAATATAAACAAGGATTAAGTTTATGTGGGCCGAAAAAAAACAAAAGCTTCAATTTTCATAGAAACGTAGGTTTATTTTGATAGAGACATGCCGAATACAAAGGGCTGAAATAAATGAGTCATCGTTAACATAAAATAATAGAACATTTTAATAAAAATTAATATATTTTTCTTGAACATGAACTTATCAAACACTGAGTAACTGCACAAATTAATAAGTGTAACACAATAAACCTATTTTTCTTGTTCTCCGAAAGCGAAATATTTCCTGTTGTGAATACCAAACAAGTCAGTCCAAGACTAATGACGCGGCAATCGGCTGCTAAAATATTCGCTGCTAGTATTAGTGGAGAGAAATGGTGCGCCTGTGAGTAAGGGAAATGGATGCAACATGATTGTAGTAATCAGTCATTAGCGAATGTTGTAGTTCATTATTAATAACTAGAGGCCCGGTGCACAAAAATTTGTGCACTCGGGGGGGGGGGGTGGGGACGGGGATCCCCCAGCCCGGCCTGTGCCCTCTCGCAGTCTGGGACCCCTCAGGAGATAACGACCTGCTGGCTTAGGCCTGCTCCCGGGTGGCAGAGGGCACGCCCAATCCCTAGGTGCAGCCCCTGGTCGGGCTCAGAGCAGGGCCGATTGGGGAGTTGGGGCGCCGCCCCCTGTCATGCACAGAGCAGGGTGGATCGGGAGGTTGCGATGCCACCCTCAGTCACGCTCAGGGTAGGGCCGATTGGGGGGTTGGGGCACCGCCCCCTGTCACACTCAAGGCAGGGTCGATGGGGAGGTTGCGGCGACACCCCCTGTCACGCACAGAGCAGGGCCGATCAGGGGGTTGGGGCGCTGCCCCCTGTCACTCACAGAGCAGGGCCGATCAGGGGGTTGGGGCGCTGCCCCCTGTCACTCACAGAGCAGGGCCCATCAGGGGGGTTGGGGCTCCGTACCCTGTCACACACAGAGCAGGGTCAATCAGGGGGTTGGGGAGCTCCCTCCTGTCACGCACGGAGCAGGGCCGATCAGGGGGTTGGGGAGCTCCCCCCTGTCACACACAGAGCAGGGCGGATCAGGGGGTTGGGGCGCTGCACCCTGTCACACTCAGGGCAGGGCCAATGGGGAGGTTATGGCTCTACCCTGTCACACACAGAGCAAGGCCCGTGGAGGGGGGTTGGGCGCCGCCCTCTATCACCCACAGAGCAGGGCCGATCAGGGGGTTGGTGCGCTGCACTGTCAAACACAGAGCCGCAGGGCAATCAGGGGATTTGGGAGCTCCCCCCTATTAGGCACAGAGCAGGGCTGATCAGGGGGTTGGGGCGCCTTCCCCTGTCATGAACAGAGCAGGGCAGATAGGGAGGTTGTGGCCCCACCCCCTGTCACACACAGAGCTGCAGGGTGATCAGGGGGTTTGGGCGCTGCCCCCTGTCACACTGATCCCGGTGCTGGGAGCCTCGCTGCTCCGCTGATCCTGGTGCCGGGAGGCATATTACCCTTTTACTATATAGGATAGAGGCCTGGTGCACGGGTCGGGGCCGGCTGGGTTGCCCTGAAGGGTGTCCTGGATCAGGGTGGGGGTCCCCACTGGGGTGCCTGGCCAGTCTGGGTGAGGGGCTGAGGGCTGTTTTCCCGGAAGCGGGTGACTGAAGCTCCTAACCGCTCCTTGTTTTCTTTTTTTTTATTTTTATTCTGGGCCAGCTTTAGCTCTGAGGCCTCGCTGCTGAAAACATCAATACAATGTTGCGGTCCGGCTGGCTTTCAGTCCGGCTGGTTTCTGGGGTTTTGTTTAGCTTCTTATTTGCAACATAGTACATAGTTGCTTAGACTTGCAGCTGAGTGGCCGGCAAGTTAGGCGGGGAACGTTGGAGTCCGCAGTCACTGAAGCAAGCAAGCCTCCCTGCTCGCTTCAGTGCATGGCTGCCGGCCGCCATCTTGGCTGACAGTTAATTTGCATAAGGATATGCTGATTAGCCAATGGGAAGGGTAGCGGTCGTACGCTAATTACCATGTTTCGCTTTTATTAGTGTAGACTAGTGGCCAGTGCACAAATTCATGCACATTGAAAGGAAATTAATTAGAAGAAATATTTTAATATTGCTATTCGCCCTTTCTCTATAGTAGAAGTATCAACCAAATTCACGATTGACAATGACAGATTGAAACACACGCGTGCAATTGGCGTCAGTGGGAGCTTTATATGTATCACGCATGTGCAAGTCAACTTAGCCTTTTATAGATATAGAATAAACTTGCTTAATTAGACCTGCTTTCTAATTTAGCTAAACTTTTTCCAGCCCAGTGAAGCACCCCAACTTCTCTTTCAGGTAATTGTCAGCAACACAGCAGTAAATATCAACAGGAAGCAGGTTATTATTGTAGATCACGCAGGGAGAACAAAGGGTAAAATATTTCACTGCAGCAGCGTTTGACTATATTCTGCGCAGTGAGAAAACCTGAAGTCATTTTCAAGGTCCACCATTTTTTACTTATTTTCAGTCTGGTCAAGTTTCTAAACTTTCTAAATCTCCGTTTTCTGGCTAATGAAAAGAAAATAGGATTCCACTGAGTCTCCTATATACCTACTCCCGGACTTCTGTGAGGTTCAAATGAGATGAGGCATGGGAAAACGCTTCACAGACCTTTGGTTAAAGTGTGAAATGTTTCCACCTGTGTTCCTGGGCTGAAGAAACTGCAAGGGGGCTAGTCATCGCTAGGGAGAGGAAGCTGGGCATTGCTACGTGATGGCATTACCCGGCACTCACAGCGACCCATTCAGGGCTGGGCTGGGCTGTGGGCTGCATTTTGCGCCATTTCGGCAGCATCGGCTGTGATTTGATGGGCTGTCACTCCAGGGTGGTGGTGGGGCCTGTGTCCCACTTGGGGGAAGCCGAGTGTTGCTTTGTGGGTGCCAGGTCCACGGGGCCATTTCTCTGTGCGCATCACAGCAGCTCCTGCATTCAGCATCTGCCCCCTGGTGGTCAGTGCACATCATAGCAAGCAGTCAGAAGGTGAAAGGACACTTAGCATATTAGCCTTTTATATAGATAGATTATGTATAACAGGATATTGTAAAAATTAAGTTACAAAATTTTTATTAAAACATTTCTTACATACTGTTATATTGGCTGGGCCACAAAAATATCAATTGCGGGCCACAAGTTTGACATGCTTGGGTTAGATGAATGAAGTAATGAATTCAGAGACTCCCAGTGCTTAGAAGCAGGCCACACAGCATCTCAGGGCAGAAAACCTTCTGGAGCAATGCAATGGCAAATCTGTGGCATCCATACCCAGGTTTCCACTCCTGAACCCAGGGCAGACATTACTAATCAATTCCAGCACTATTCCCAAAGAACAGCACTCAGAGAGAGTTCTTACCCTCAGATGAGGACTTACAGGGCAGAGAATGCTATGGCCCCTGCCCAACACACCTCTGATCTCAGGCCTCCCTGAAACTCCCCACAGCCTCAGTCCTGGCCCTCTGGGCCCCCCAAGGCTCCTGGGCGGCCCTCCGCATCCAGACGATTCCAGAGCGACCTCAAAAGAACCAGGACGTGCTCCTGTCTGTCCAGGGCATCCCAGACACCTTCCAAGACTTCATCTGGTACCGGGGGAAGGAGACAGATGGTGGCACAAGGCTGTTCACCTACATCCCTGATATACCGCGGCCCCAGAGAGATGGCAGCGCCATGGAGCAGCGCGACATCGTTGGCTTCCCCAACGGCTCCATGCTGCTGCGGGACGCCCAGCCCAGAGACAGCGGCACCTACCACGTGGAGGTCCACATCAACCCTTCGTGGACCATGCGGGCCAAGACCGAGGTCCAGGTGCCCGGTGAGTGTTGGGTGCTGGGGGAGGAAGTGGGAAGGCTCATGCACCCTGAGCAGCTACCGCGTGCTGGGCCCGGTGCAAACACTTCCTCTATTTCACACACATTGATTGAGCACTTCCTGTGTGCCAGGCTCCGAAGATATTTACTTTAGCTAATGAAATATCTACTGAATGACAAACACAGAGACAGACCTGGCGAGTGGACCATCTCACTTACTCCTCACATGCACTCATGAATGAAACACTTATTGAGCACCTAGTGTATGCCTGGTCCAGAGGGAAACACTATATCACTCAGTCTTCATGGTCATACATCAAGTGTTTTTTGATTAATCCACTCTGGACCAAACACAAGAGACAGGGTAGTGGACAACAGCAACGGCTACCATTTCTTGGACACTTGTTACGGGCCAGGGACTGTTGCAAACATGCCCTAGGGCAGGGGTGCAGAATGTTTGGCCTGAGGGCCGTATAAGACCCGCGAAATCATTTGGTCTGGCCCTGCCAAGGCACTAGGGGTGAGTTAATTAAGTGATGAACAAAATACAGCAGGCTATTTTTTTAATGCGTGGATCTTTTTATTAAATATATTTTTATTGATTTCAGAGAGGAGATGAGAGAGAGAGAGAAGCATCAATGATGAGAGAGAATCATTGATCGGCTGCCTTCTACACACCCCCTACTGGGAGTCGAACCCAAAACCCAGGCATGTGCCCTGACTGAGAATCGAACTGTGACTAGCTGGTTCATAGGTCGATGCTCAACCACTGAGCCGTGACGGCTGGGCGCTAATTTTTCAGTTGATGATTTCGTATGGCCGCAAATGATGTTATAAATATCCAAATGGCCTTTGGAAGAAAAACGGTCCCCCACTGTTGCCCTACAGCATAGCTTCTCAACCAGGGCACTGCTGACATTTTGAACTGGTTAATTCTTTACAGCAGGGGCTGTCCTGTGCCCTGTGGGTCACTGAACACCATCGCTGTCCTCTCCCCACCAGATGCCAGGAGCCCCCCTGCCAGTCGTGACAACCAAAAATGTCTCTTGATGTCCCCCAGGGGCAAAGTCACCCCAGTTGAGAACCACTGCCCTAGAGTAACTTACTTTTACCTGTAAAAAACTCCATGATATGTTATAGTCGCCCTAGCCTGTTTGGCTCAGTGGATAGAGCGTCGGCCTGCAGACTGAAGGGTCCTGGGTTCGATTCCGGTCAAGGGCACATGCCCGGATTGCAGGCTCCATCCCCAGAATGGGGCACGCAGGAGGCAGCCGATTAATGATTCTCTCTCATCATTGATGTTTCTCTCTCTCTCTTCCTCTCCCTTCCTCTCTGAAATCAATAAAAAAATATATTTTTAAAATGTTATATGTCAACTATATTTCAAAGAAGCTGGTGGGGGGTGGCCCATAATAACCAGACTCGATCACTCATCATCTACGTCCCCCAAGTTACCTTTGCGAATTTCATAATGAATTCTAATTTATCAGTTCACATATTGGGTCTCACTAGGAGAGTAAGTCTTCAAAATGAGAGAAATAGAACGTACTCATCCTTTTATCATCCAACATCTACTACCATGTGTGGAACATAATAGGTTCTCAGTTAATGTTTGTTGACTAAATAAATAAATGAATGAAAACTTTAATTTAAAAAAAAAACTCCCACGAGGCAGGTGCCATCATGGTCTCCATTTTACGGCTGGGGAACTGAGGTACAGAGAGGTTACGACTTGCTCAGTAAAAAAATTAAACAGAACGATGCGATCTGGGATGGGAGTTTATCGGGAGGCCTCCCTGGAGACGGGACATGGAGCAGAGATGACAAGAAGGCCAGCGAGGCAGGAAGCCGGGCAGATTTCTGGGGACAAAGTTCCTGGCAGAGGGAACAGCAAGTGCAAAGGCCCTGAGGCCAGACTAGTTTGGTGTGTTCAATGCCTAGACCGCACAACGCCATGGCTACAGGTGGTGAGCAGGTGGGGTGTTTGTAGGCGAGTCTGAGAGGCGCACGGGGAGCAGGCTTGTCGGCCGTGGGGAGACTGACAAGAAGCCAGACCGGGTTTAAAAAAGAAAGTGATCTCAACCGAAGGACTTGTATGCATGCATATAAGCATAACCAATGGACATAAGACACTGGGGGGTAGGGGAGGCCAGGGGATTGCCAAGGGCGGGGGAAAAAAAGGAGACAAATGTAATACTCTTTGTAATACTTTAAGCAATAAAACAATTTAAAAAAAGAGAGAGAGAGTGATCTGAGTCACAGTGTAGCCCATCCGTGGGGCCAGTGCGGGTTGGATTTCTGTTTTATCCAGGAGGAGCCTGAGCCAACGGGAGACCAGCATGACTGAGGCAGGACAGCAAGGAGAGCCTCCGCAGGATGTATCTGCGCCGAGGCTGAGACTGTAAGGACAGAGCTCTCTCCAGCTGGCGCACAAGGGGGCGATCTTGTGAAGCCCCGGAGGTAGCCCTGGGATGTGAGGGCCAGGAGGCCTGGGTCCACAGCTGTCTCCCTGGAGCCTAGAGCAGGGCAGGACTCACTATTGAATGAATGGGTGGGGCCCACAGGGTCTGGCGGGAAATGAGTTGTCAGGAAGGCAGGTGCTCCCCCCTCCTCCAGAGGGCGCCATCGCTGGTCTCCTCTCTGCTCGGGGCTCCATTCTTCCCTCGGGGCCTGGGATTCCCATCAGGACACTAAATCGTGTGTGAGCCCAGGCTTCTCTGCATATTCTGAATCTCCTCTCCCAGGATGCGGAGATAAAAAGAAAAGGGGCTGGACAGACAGGCAGACTGAGAGAGAACCTGGCTGGCCCACCTGGCCTGTGACTTGCTTCCCCTTGAGTCGAGGGTCCACCCCTTGTCCAAGGGGGTGGGACCAAGTAGGGCAAACAGGATGGGGAGCTGGGGATCAGGGCTGGGAAGATGAGCAAGAACTCAGTACCTATAATTGTCACAATATGTATTAGTATTTATTATCGCTTCCTTCACCATTAATCCCCTGGTGCCTAGCTCAGTGCTGAGCACACACCAGGCACTGGGGAAATCATGGCAATGCCATCTCCCATCTAAGGGGCACGTACCCCATACCACCACCTCTAGCTCAGAACTTTGCTGACCTCAACTCATTTCATTCCCACACAAACCCTGTTGGGGAAGCCCTGGGGTGACCCCCATTTTACAGAGGGGCAAACTGAGGCTCAGGGAGGGCCCAAGACCACACCACTGAGAGGAGGGGAGCCAAGACTCCAAGTGGGACTAGTCCATCCCCTGGTGCCTCTGCCACCGGGCTCTTTCTCTATCACAGGGACTTCAGGAAGCACCGAGGGGCCCCATGGAGAGAGGGGTCCCGTGGAGAGAGGGGTCCCATGGAGAGAGGGGTCCTGGGGAGAGAGGGGTCCCGTGGAGAGAGGGTCCTGTGGAGAGAGGGGTCCCGTGGAGAGAGGGGTCCCATGGAGAGAGGGGTCCTGGGGAGAGAGGGGTCCCATGGAGAGAGGGTCCTGTGGAGAGAGGGGCCCCTTGGAGAGAGGGGTCCCGTGGAGAACAGGAAGTAACAGGGCCTGGCAGGACCTGCCTTGACTGAGCACAGGGAGTTGACTGACAACAGGGAGGTGGGAAACAGAGCGGTGCAGCTCAATGGAAAAGGAAGAGCAAAGCAAAAGGCAGAGGCTGAATTCATGGGAATTAGGGACAGAGCTGGGACAGTCACCTTGACAACCGGGGCATTTATTTTTGAGGGCCGCTGTGGCCCCAAGTTCAGCCCCTCCATGGTGGGGGATGGGGATGGCAGGGTGCTTTATTTCTCCTAATCATGAGGGGATCTGGCTGTAAGGGAAGCCCCCCAGTGGGCCTGTGCAGAAAGGGGCTTAATATGCCCTCGCCGGTTTGGCTCAGTGGATAGAGCATCAGCCTGCAGACCAAAGGGTCCCGGGTTCTATTCCAGTCAAAGGCATGTACCTTGGTTGCAGGCTTCTCCCTAGTCCGGGCCCTGGTTGGGGCTTGTGCAACCAATCGATGTGTTTCTCTGTGTTTCCCTCTCTCTTCTACTCTTCCTAAATATCAATTTTAGAATATCCTTGGATGAGGATTGACCAAAATAAAGAAAGAACAAAAGAACGAAAGGAAGGAAGGAAGGAAGGAAGGAAGGAAGGAAGGAAGGAAGGAAGGAAGGAAGGAAGGAAGAAAGAAAGAAAGAAAGAAAGAAAGAAAGAAAGAAAGAAAGAAAGAAAGAAAGAAAGAAAGAAAGAAAGAGAAAGAAAGAAAGAAAGAATCTTAATAGAGTCCTGGGTGCTCATGGGGCCTCCAGGCTGGGAACCAGAAACCAGCAAAACTGCGCCCACCTGCCTGCCTGCCTGCCTGCCTGCCTGCGGGGCACTGGAAAGCTGCATTCGTTCGTTTATTCATTCAACAAACATCCATTGCCCACCTGCTGTGTGAGAGGCACCCAGGACGGAGATCGCTGCCCTGGTGGCGTTTATACGTCCGTGGGCATGTCCACCTCGTCCTCACCATCGAAGGCCTGGTCCGGGGCCCCTGCCTTGGTCTCTAGCTTCTGAAGCCTAGTCTCCCGCGGGTGCATCAGAGCCTGGGTCACATGACCGTGGGAAGTTGAACAGGAAGCTAAGAAGGGGAGTCTCTGGAAGGAGTCCAGGCGAAGGATTCGCAGGCCCGGGGCGGCCTGAAAACACAGTGTGGCCGCGGGCCCTGAGGGAGAGAGAGCACGTGGAGAGTGAGTATTCCAAAAGACCAAGGCAGAAATGGGGGGCCTCTCCTGACCTCGCCTTGGAAGTCACCCCGGGCCACCTACACGGCATTCTTTTCTTTTTTTTAATCCTCACCTGAGGATATGTTTATTGATTTTAGAGAAAGAGGTGGGGAGAGAGAAACATCAACAGGTTGCCTCCTATACACACCCCAACGGGGGACCGAACCCACAACCTAGGTATGTGCCCTGACCAGGAATTGAAGCTGCAACCTTTTGGGGGTACAGGACGACGCTCCAACCAACCGAGCCAGCGGGCCAGGGCTTTGCTGCATTCATCCTTTGGATTACAAGGGAGTCACCGAGGTTGGCCTCGATTCCAGGCCGGGGTGTCAGCGCCTCCCGCTGGAGAGGAGAAGAGCAAGGCCGAGTCACAGAAGCGCCTCCGTAGCAATCAACTTTGGAAAATACAGTGATTCACAGGCTCCCTGTCTGCTTGCTCGCTGTCTATAACAAAAGGCAGAAAATGCAGCGAGTTCTAAAAAGAGGACGCTTCGTCATGCGAACCGGGCAGGGTTTTTGCTGCAGCGGCGGAAACTGCTTCCGGCTGATGGAAGCAGCAAAGGGACAGATGGAGAATCCAGAGCAGCTCAAGGGCTCTGCAGGTGCCAGGCAGCCAGGCGGGGCGGTGTTGAGTGTGGAATTAGGTCCCCTCAGGAAGATGCGCTGTCCTAACCCGCAGTCCTCAGAATGGGGCCGTCTTTGGATATAGGGTCTCCACAGAGGTGCCCAAGTGATATGAGGTCAGTAGGGTGGGCTCCGACCCAGTAGGGCCCGTGTCCTTATAACGTGGGGAATTGTGGACACAGAAATCTGGATGTGAAATTGCCCGGGGTTTCTGTGTCAGAAGCAATGTCGCGTTTTATTTGCTTAACACGGTGCTTTAAGGCATAAGCTGTTCACGCACGAGGCTGGAAAATGTCTTTATTTGCGGCAGGCTTCTGCCCAGCGAA